TCTCAGTAGATAATGATGCAGGGCCTCAAACTGCTAGACCCTATGGTTTCAATTCCGATTTACTCATATTTTGCAAAGAATCAAGAGATAACTTAACACATTCTTTTTCGTAGTCACTCGCCTTGCTTTCTTTGTGTACGGTAATACACTCGGAACTACTCGGATGTCTCCGCACTCGACAATAACTATGTTGTTAGTATGGAGCTTGCGGAATCAGCCGAGGATTGCCGATTGACGGTCAACCAATCAGCGTTTTCACCAAACTTTGGTGAAAAATTTTGAAACATGGATTTGATTGGCTTATATAAACTAGGTCAAACTATTTTCGTCAGAGGTTACTTGACACGATGAAGATAGGCTACAGTGAAGAGGTTAGTGTCAAGTTAGCTCTGAAGCTCAGGGTGAAGCTAATGGTCAGGTACGTTAAATTTCATTATAAAAATAGTCCCGTTTTAGTCATTCTTGAGTCCTGAACCATTATATATATATAGGCTTAGAGTTCGTCAGGACCGAGTCGCATTCCCATAGATTTTAGATCGATCTATCCCCGTGGGGAGTCTCACTAGCTAGATTACTGTCAGATAATACGGCTTAAATGTCCGTCCCGCCTACTACAAGCTGTAAGGGGGTAATTAGCTTACGTGCCCGCTCGGCTGGCAGCTATTTAGCGTGAACCCCCAGGGAGTTAGGTCAATCTAGTTGGATCGATCTAATCTCTGGGAATGGGGTCTTAGTGTTTAAGCAGGTATACTAAAGAATGTTACGAGACTAGGCCTATACAATGTGCAGTGTATCAAAGGTGGGTCATTTTGCATACAATTGATATGTATTAGGTCCTTCTCATTCCAATCCACCTCTGTCGGTCATGATGAATACTTGGACTTATATGACTTATATCAATGATAGCTCCAGGAGTTGTTTCCAGGAGTTGTCTCAGTTGTTGGTCTCACATAACACCCTGTTCATGTGTTACAAACTAGCTCGGGGCTATACATATCCAAATCATGGGGTAATCGCAAATAAAGATAAGCCGATCACCACGCCTCCTCTCGGTTCCATTGCACTCGTATTAATCACCAGCTTTTCTGCATTCTACTCAACGCTAAGAGGATATATATGTGTATAGGAAAGTCAAAGTTTGCATGCACTGTGTATTAGGCACCGTTCACATGAAAAATCTAAATTCTAAAAATCCAAAAATCCATTGGCAGTATCTAGCGATCACGGTCGGTGCCCTGAATACCCCGCCGCGTAATTAACTAGCAGAGCGAACGAGTACTTCCAAAGCTGTAATTAATTTTCGGCTGCGCTCGGAGTAGATTCTGACACCTTGACGCATGCGCAGTAATAAGTTAGAGAGAAAGAAATGGCAGTCGCGGTTGCTTTGAAAAATGTGTTTACATCGATTTTGTGTAACAACAAGACGAGGAAGATGAGGTCCATATATACACACGACAGATATGAGTAGAATCTGATGAACTCCACAGTTTAGAGATATTACTGCGTATTTAGTCCTTCCGGAATTTAGAGTTTTCATGTGAACGGCGCCTTAAAGGTGGATCATATAAATTTACAGTTTATGTCTTTGGTCTTTCGTGGCCCTTTTGTTTAAGTAAATTAAATGTATATAGCGGAGGCATAAAATTTGCATGCAGGTACATGTAGCTTTACATGCAGGTAGCCTACATGCAAAGTATTAATGACAAATAATGTGCAAATATATTTTTCAGGTCAAAGAGGCGGAACGCACCCTACGTACGTCTTACTCATGAAAGTGTGAGTGGAAGATGGACCTGTTATCTAAAGAAGAAGCTACAATATTTGTTGAAAATGTCCTAGGACTCACTGACATCCAGATGAGACTTAATACAGACAAATTGTCCTTTCTGAACGACATCATTTACGAATACCATTGCAAAGTTCCATTTCACAACTTGGATGTGTTGGCGCTACCAGTTTCTGAAAGGAGAATACCAAATCTGACAGAATTGAAAGAGAGGGGTCTTTCCGGCAGAGGCGGTCTTTGCTACCAAAATAATACTTTTCTGTATTTCGTCTTACGAGTTTTAGGTTATGACATCAGTTTGGCAAAAGGCCAAGTAGATATTCCAGGGGACCACGTGCTGTTAGTAGCACATGATGTTGTGATGTCAGACGACAATTACCTTATTGAGGCCGGCATGGGATATCCGACATTGAAAGCGATCCCTTTAGATTTTCAAGACGAATCGCCAGTGTACACGTTTTCATTTTGTACCTTCAAATACGTCCACCAGAATGGTGGAGAGTTTTATCGAATGCACAAAGAGAAAAGTGACGTAGAAAATACCTGGCGGCAAGTGTACAGATTTAACTCCGCTCATTGTATTCTCAAGGATTTCGAAAGCTCGATGGTCATACCGTACACAGACCCAACCTCAATCTTTCTCAATTCTTTCAGAGCTGTTCGTTTCCCAAATGGCAAGCTGCTGGCTATTAAGAACAGTTCGATATTGGAAGACAAAAACGATAGAGTTGTTTCCACTAAGTTGAAAGATTCTGAAGCCCTAACGAATGCCTTGTGCCTCCTGTTTCCAATGGTCAGCAATCCAAAAGAGGTGATGCAATCTGCCGTTGAAATGATTGTAACATTTTAATGCTATAATTAACAGATATCTAGATAACGCACTGTTGTCATCCTGTAGATGTGCTACTTTCATCATTAAGATGTAGAGAAGCTTTAAGTGTCAACAGAACGTATAAATGTTTTGTTTTCCAATGGACGATTGTAGAACGGAGCTACTGATTAAACGTTATCCTTAGCCAAGCTACTTCATCACCTCTCATCACCTTATAATGCATATATACATGTATATACGGATACCAGCAATACACAGATTAATATATCATATTTTATGTGATATTCTTTTTAAAAACACATTAATGTAGTTACAAAATTTGAGTAGATAAAAACATCCTTTACAGTTATATCATTACCATATTAAATGTAGTTCATATTTTGTATAGTGCAGATTAGGTACATTTTGTTTTCCAATCATCGTATAGCCAAACAGTAAAATGTGCAAGGTGGATCAGTATTTTATTTGACGGCACAGTTTATTTTAAAAAGATAGGTCTACTAAATATTGATGAAAGTAATAAAATGGTATCTTTATTTATAAACACATTTTGATAAAGTGGTATACAGTTTACTGATTTTTATTGAAATAAATCTTTATTTTAAAATAATAATAATGATATATTGTTGGCCCTTGTTATTGTTTTTTTTTCTGATTTTTTTCAAAAAAAAAGTAAAGTGAAGTGGACATTAATCTGAATATGAATTGCCTTTTCATTTACCATTAATTTATCTAATATGTGTTGTTTCTTTTACTACTTATAATGTCTCTTCTGTTAACAAGAGCCCATCATATTTGAAATTTCTGTACTGACTGACTGCAAGTCTTGAGATTCGATTAATGGAGACATTTTCCAACACCGCTGATACAAATGACTGATAAATGAAAATGCAACGACGAAAGTTGTTACTTTGTTCTCAAACCTTTACACCATATATTGCCTTTCTCTTTGAAAAAATTCCAAGAATAAAGAGGAGTCATTCATAGACTTACCCGATTTTGCACTGTTGGTCTTGTATAGGATCGTGAGATTAACAGTTTTACTCGCTTTTGAGAAATAATCCAGAAATATCCCGGATCATTTCGATAGCCCGAAGCTCCAGCGCCGAAAAGTTAGCGTAAAGCCCGCCGCACACAGAACAATTTTTCGCCGGCCGACAAAAGTCGGCCGATCTGGCGTCCTGGATGAGATCAGCGCACACACACGTCAAGCTGTCGCAACAAAGCGCCGACTGGTGTGGTCAAAATGACGTAGTTATTATCTCGTCCGCGAGGTGAGGCGTTGTTTAATTTAATCAGGAAAAGTTTCTGTAGGCCATTTATATTATATATCTGATATTGTAATGATAAGAGTTAAAATTAAATGTATGAGTATAACAAGATTACTTTGATTAATTTAATTGAAAAATGAGCAAATTGAAATGCCCAAATTTTCTAAATCAACGCAATACTCATAGACCATAAAAATACAGCCTATAGGATGACAACAGTTTGTCAGTTCAGACAGATTTAGTTGCCTCGATGCAGCGTTACATCGTTAAATGGTTTAAGACGCTGAAAATTAAAAAAAAAACTAATACTAATAGAAAATTACAGGGCCTTCCATCATACTGAGTTGAATTGAATTCTGACGTGGGCACGTGATATCAGATGGCGCAAACATTGGCTGAAGATAATGATCAACGCGACAAATTGTCGTAGGAAAGCGCGCACACTACGGTACGACGTTTAAAAATCAAACATGATTGATTCTCTCCCGACTAGTTGAAAAGTTGTCGTGGAGCAGCGCAGACAGGCCGTATTTTGTCGTAAGTGTGTTGGCCGACGAAAAATCGTTCTGTGTGCGGCGGGCTTAAGTTTGGCCTTGGGGTTAGTCGGCGATTAGAATATAACCGTGAGAATGTGTGATGTAATTAAAGCAAATTATGTTGAGTAAACCACTATGTTGTAGTGTTGATAGCTACCCGGACTTCCCTGCCCACATTAAATTTGTCCCTTCGCTACTCGGTCCCTGCACTTAATATAGTACATATACTTTAAGACTAGGTTCCCATACCTAGAGCGATCTAACAGGATCGATCCATCTCCGAGGGATTTCTCGCTAACTTGCTTTCAGCTTTAGCGGCTTTTATGTCTGGCACGCTTACTGAAGCTGGTAAACGATAATTAATTAACCCCTAGCAGCTTCAGTAGGCGTGACAGACATCTAAGCCGCTTGAATTGATAGCAATTTGGCGAAAAATCCCTCAGAGATGGATCGATCTTCAGTTAGTACGATATAGGGTCTGGGGACTGTCCCTAATAACGTTTGTTGTGCACAACCGAACTCTGATAGCCAGCTTCCCCTTGACCTACTTTCCATCGACATAACACGAAGCTAGCTCACGCTAACATTCAGGTTAGTCAAAATCATTTTAAGTCATTCTTGAGCGCTGAGCCATATAGACCTAGAGTTCGCCAGGAGTGTCAGTGTTTAAGTAAGCGTACTAAAGAATGATACGAAGGTGGATCGTTTTGCATACAGTTTATATGTCTTTGGTCCTTCTCATTGCAATCCATCTCTGTCGGTCATGACATGAAGATTAGCTTGGACTTATATCAATGGCGGCTCCAGGGGTTGTCCCCAGGGATTGTCTCAGTTTAATTACCTCAGTCTTTGGTTTCATAACACCCTATAGACTGTGTTTCAAACTTTCGGGGCTATAGATATCCGAAACTTGGGATAAGCACTCCGAAGCATATCAATCGCAAATAAATTAATTTTACACCGGCTCACGAACCAGTTCGATTACGTTTTACATGAACTGTTAGCACCTCCGCGCGCCATTTTTAAGTGATGCCATTTTTAAGTGATGCCACATACACCGTATAGTCACGAGAGTATCTAGCACACCGGGGTGTTATGAGACCTTACCTACGCAGCACGTAAGGATCCATTCCTGATGAATCTATTGTTCTCCTTAGATCGACCCAACTCTCGCTGAATGCAATCAAATTAACAGATTAACACTCTTGGACCTCTTGTGTCCAACGTGCTCGTGTAGGCCTAATCAGCAGCCTTTCTGTATTCTACTCAGTGCCAAGAGGAGGCCCTGTCAGAGTTGTGTCGATCTACGTAGAACCAGATAGTTGCATTGGGATTGCCTAAAGCCGAAAACTCAGGGTAGGGCACAATTACAGACACGTGTCTCTCGCTAGGCTTCTGCTTCTGAGACAGCCCCTACATTCTCCCCTCTTTCCCAAACACAAAGTAGTACCTGTATATCGAGCGAAAATGTAGAATTTTGATGAAATACTTGGACTTTCTGTTTTTCTAAATTATATATGTATAGACCATTAGTTTGCATGGATGTAATGAATTAATGACAAAGAATGTGCAAATATATTTTTTCAGGTCAAAGAGGTGGAATGCACCCTTATTCTTATTCATGAAAGTGTGAGTGGGAGATGGACCTGATATCTAAAGAAGAAGCTACAACATTTGTTGAAAATGTTCTAGGACTCACTGACATCCAAACGAGACTTAATCAAGATAAACTGTCATTTCTGAACGACATTATTTATGAATATCATTGCAAAGTTCCATTTCACAACTTGGATCTATTGGCGTTACCAGTTTCTGAAAGGAGAATACCGAATTTAGCAGAATTGAAAGACAGAGGTCTTTCGGGCAGAGGCGGTCTTTGCTACCAAAATAATACTTTTCTGTATTTTGTCTTACGAGTTTTAGGTTATGACATCACTTTGGCAAAAGGCCAAGTAGAAATTCCAGTGGATCACGTGTTGTTAGTAGCACATGATGTTGTGACGTCAGGCGACAGTTACCTTATAGATGCTGGCGGGGGATACCCGACATTGATTGCAATACCTTTAGATTTTCAAGACGAATCACCAGTGTACACGTTTTCATTCTGTACCTTCAAATACGTCCGCAAGGAAGACAGGGAGTTTCATCGAATGCACAGTGGATTAGAAAAAGATTCATACAAAGTTGAAAGCGTCCTTAAAAACAGCTGGCAGCACAACTATAGTTTAAACACCGCTCCTTGCATTCTGAAAGATTTCGAGAGCTCGATGGCCAGACCATACACAAATCCAGCTTCAGTCTTTCTCAATTCCTTCAGAGCTGTTCGTTTTCCGAAAGGCAAGCTTCTGGCTATTAAGAACAACTCAATACTGGAAGACAAAGACGACGCAGTTTTTGCAACTGAGGTGAAAGATTCTGAAGCCCTAAAGAATGCCTTGTCTGTCTTGTTCCCAATGCTCAGCAGTCCAAAAGAGCTGATGTCATCTGCTCTTGAAATGTTTGAAACATTTAAATGCTATAATTAACAGACATACATCTAAGATATCTTGATGACGCACTGCTCTTATCCTGTAGATGAGTAACCTTGATCATTATGATGTAGAGAAACATAAAGTGCCAGCAGAAGATGGTATAAATATTTTGTATTCCAACGGACAAATGAGAAACGAAGCTATTGATTAAACGTTATCCTTACCCAGCTACTTCACCATACCTCATCACCTCATGGTGCACAGATATACGGATGCCATCAATACATAGATTAATATATAATACTTAATGTGATATTCATTTTAAAAACATATTGATTATTAATAACTTAAAGATGCATACAATGTCAATTTTTGTCACAAAAACCAACCAAATGCCAGCATATAGTTTCAAGTAGTATAACTAAGAGAATTACTAAAAGGCATTGTTTAATTTTACCCGAAAATGATGTTTGAACGGACTTTTCTGCTGGCATTCTAAGCTGTATGTCAACGGGGCAGGAAAGTAGGTCACGAAAGTAGGTTAAATTTACAACCAAAAATTAAAAGAAAGGAGCAGTCTTAAGGTCTTTTATGGCTGATCGAGTGATCTATTCAGTTTATGCCATGGCATGTCGAATTTATTTGATTCATATAAGAATCTAGTAGAAGTGGCGTTATGTGTTACTGGGAATCCACGCTCCACCGATGCTCGGTTCGTATGTACCTTTAAATGTAGGTACAAAATTGATGTAGATAAAAACATCCTTTACAATTATATCTTTACCATATTAAATCTAGTTCATATTCTGTATAATGCAGATGAGGTACAATTTGTTTTCTAATCATCGTATAGCCAAACAGTAAACTGTGCAAGGTGTAGCCTATCAGTATTTTAGACCCCGTGCCCATAGATTTTAGATCGATCTATCCCTGTGGGGAGTCTCACTAGATTACTGTCAGCTTAGCCGGCTTAAGCGTCTGTCCCGCCTACTAAAAGCTGTAAGGGGGTATGTTACGGGTCAGAGTACCCAATGCCAGCAAAAATCAATGACAAAAGATTTAAAGAAGTTTTAATATTTTATTAAAACTAAATAAACTAATGACAATAACAATAAGCTATTCTTAATACACAAATAGACCTATCTGAAAGCATGAAGTGTCCTGTGTGAAAGTCCGATGTGAATCCGTCGACTGGAGATTGAATGGAGATAAATCTGCTCAAATTTCAGTGAAAGTGTCCGATGAAATCCCACAGTAATTACGATGCAAGTTCCAGTAGAAAATATGAGTGTCGGTTCAGTGGTAAATAGGTTCCAAA